GGCTACTTGCAGGTTGCTTAGAGTGGCAGCGGCGGCTGGTGCAAGCTATCGTTATTCTTGACCGCCACCCGACTCGCAGCACTTTCGCGTAACAAGCTGCAACTTGTCATGAACCAATATTATCGAGTCTTCTTAGTGTCTTCGCTTTGTTTTCTTGTTTTTTTAGACAACTTCCCGATTAGAACCTGGCAGATTGCCAAAGCTCTGTCACAGACGTGGCACAGTTTTCTCGCGGCGCGGTTGCACAACTTTAAGCTTAGTGTAGGGCCATTCCGAATTGACACAGCCTGCACAAAAAACTTAGGGTGATTCCCAAAGATAATATTTTCCAAAATTGGAAAGATAAATCTTGCGCTGTTATTAATGATAAAAAAGATGAGAGCAGGAAGGATGATAATCAGATAAAAAAAAAACAACTATTCATGAAAGCCATGCTCATATACTGCACAATCAATTTATGTACATAGAGCTGAGCACAAGTCTTGATAAAATTTCCTAGGTACACTACCCAAGGGCAAAGTTCCTGGCACCACCTATGACAGTATGTTTTGTCCACTACTTTTTCATTTGTCCGTGCCAGTGCTAGATTTTTCCTACCAACTCCACTTCTCTGCTCTACCTATACTACAATCCACCCAGGTCGTTTCACGTTTTATGCAACCTATTTTATATACTTATTTCGGGTACGGAGACGACTGGCAATTTAATATTAACCCTATTAGATCTTCTTGTTAGATACTCGTCAAGGTTCGACATTGGAAATACGCGCAGGAGTTCCTAAAACCTTGGTGTCTTCAACTGCAGCAACTAGGTGTAACGTCCTCAAGTTACCTGCATAATTTTACAGTCTTCCCTACACGTATCATTCTACCTCCATTATTAGGCAAAAACATACTGTATTTATCTGGAAAAAAGCAAGCAAGGAAGTAAACATGTATCCCTAGTGCTGTAATTCTAAAAAATCTGTCTGAAACCTTGCCTCAATCGAAGGTTTATGAAAATTTTTTAGGGGATGAACTTCTCACAGCGCTTATATTTTGTTGCAGATAGATAGGTATCGGGAAGAATTATGAGAATTAAGACAAATATTTCTATCTTCTTGCATACGTCTTACTGCTTATCTTTAAGAGAAAAGCAGAAAAAA